GATCCAAAACAGAGCGTGGGTACGGAAGCCAAGCCGTGATCCGAAAAACTGTCGTCAAAAGGGGAAAAAAACGTAAATCGAAAACCAAGAAGGACACAAGGCAGAAGAAGGAGTAGCGCAACTAGGAAGCTCGAAAGAAAAACCAATACTGAGCGAGGAGGTAGGAAAAGACAGGTGTTTAAGTATAGGATGAGACAGGGGTGTGGTGGTGAATAGGAAAACTGATAGGTTACTGATGGGGTTAGGCTACGCCTTCTTCTGCCTCTTCCGTAGCCGGGAGGCAGGGATCGTAACAGTAATTCAGTGAGATCCTAGTGAAAGCAATATGAAATGACACGTCATGTATTTTACCAAACTGCTTTATACCCTACGGTGTCGCGGGGAGCCGGAGCCTACCCGGCAAGCAATGAGCACAAGGCAGGGTACACCCTGGACAGGACGCCAGTCCATTGCAGGGCCAGTGCAAGCCAATCACACATGGGGACAGTTTGGAGGCCGTGGTAAAGGCCGAGGGGGGGAATTTGGCCCGGACACCAGGACAACCCCCTACTTTTCTCGAGAAATGCCCGGGGATCTTTAATGACCACTGAGAGCCAAGACCTCGGTTTAACATCTCATCCGAAAGACAGAATATGAAATGTGTAGAGAGTATTTGAGGTAACTCTTACTTGAGGGAATGGCCTAGCTTCGAGGATGAGGCAGCACAATCCCCCCTAAGTAATGAAAGGCATGAGCCAGGGAGCTGCACAAGGGTGTGTATGGGATGGGGGGAAGGACGCTGAGAGATGCAGGAAAGGAAGGAAAGTCCCGGGTGCACGATACATAGATATATTTATACATACAGTAGGAGAGCTGAAGTAGCCAAGAATCATTTGTGATGATCTCCACTCATACATCACAAAAATATATGGTCTGGAATGTCTTTTCATCTACTGTTGATGCACAGTGAATGTTGTATTTAATCAGCGATAGGACTGTAATATAACTAAAATGCAATTTCCTTGATTAAATGGTATAACCTACTGCAAAGTTACTGAATAGGTTTCCATGTATTAATGTTGATAAGAAAGGAAGAAGTACCAGAACAAGTTATGTTTCATTACGTTTACAGACCAGCTGCTTAAAAAAAACCCTAAGAGTGTGGGACTCACGTGTTGGAAACAAGTGTAGAATCAGCTTGACATGCTACTTCGTAATTCCTAGAGTACATGGACTTTCTTTCCTACAGCATTATTGCACTGTAGGAGTCTGGTTGCCTGTATTTAGCGTGAAACAGGGCAAGCTATTACCTTGTAAAAAGGTACTGGTTGTGCACGTTTAAAAGTGTGAGTACTTTGCTTTGATTTTTTTTTAGGTTCTTGTTTCCTAATGGGGCCCAGCGGCTGGTGATGACCAGCTGCCACTAGGTAGGACTCACAACAAACTCCGGGGACATAGCGAGACTGCATGGAAGAGCTGAGAAAGAATGAAAACACTGACAAAAAAAAACAGCAATTCCATGTCTTGAAACTCAATAACCTGTGGAAACTGTCTTAGCTACTCCAGGCCCCCTGGCTCTGCGTCGCCAGTTTCCAGAGTACTGTACTTGAAAGAGGAGGTTACAGCACAAGACGGGGCTAGTCGTCACCCAATGAGAATGAAGTGCTCTAGAGATAGAGTTGGAATGAATTCCTTTAGCACCCTTTAGGGTCTTATCAGTGCCACACAGACACATAGTACATGGAATCAAGCTGAATGCATGACGCTCAAATAGGAAAAGCGAAGTGGAAAGGAGAAAATAAAACCCACAGCTATAGCTGTATGGTAGTTCACAGAATTAAAATGCTCTACTCCACATCTAATATGCAATGCAATTTTTGTTTTTATGAGGGCACGAATAGGAAACGCCTGGTAGAAATTACGGCGTTTTACAGTACTGAATGTTCCTATCGGTCCTGGTTTATAATTTTCTCCAAGCAAGAGGAGTTTCCTTCCACCAGTAGTCTTTGAAGAGCTCTTTCCTCATGTCGGAGAGCCAGCCCTTAAGGACAAGCACAAAGATCAACAGCCACACCTGCTTGTTACAACTTTATTGGCTTCCTGCTGTAAAAAAATAAAATCAGATACTGAAATAGGTCTAAAGCCGGGCAGAAATGCAGCGCCTCGTGTGTTTAGGAACGTGCTCAGCAAATATCCCATGTCATTCCTTGGTGGAGAGAAATTTCTGACCACAGGTTTTGAACGATTTTATCTGTGGTCCCTTCTGCCTGATCTGATCTTGTCCAATCTCCTATAAAGCACATTGCAGTCATTGCCAGTGCATACATGACACAGATGCTGCATCTGGTTACAAGTGACATCTGTGGAATCTGAGGATACCCTTGGTGTTGCATATGGAAAAGATATTAATATAGTATAATATATATTAATATAATCCCTTGCATTCATGTACTGCTTGTGCCTGCTGTTCTTGGTTTTAAATTCCGCTTGTGTCCTGTAGTTGGTGTGTCACTGGTGATTCTGAAGAAATCTGCAAGATTGATATTTTATCCCAAAGAATGATTGACACAGAGGAGAAAACCTACTTCATTCAACACTAAAGTGTGGCCCTGCCTGGCTAACACGAGGCAGCCAATCCACACCAGCAGCCCCGCTGCACAGCAGGTCTGGTGGAGAATTGACGCAGCTGAAGTGAATTCTCCATCAGCTGAACTGAGAGAAGACTTCAGGTAGGTCAGATTGAGCAAGCCCAGACTGGAGCTGAAGGACATCAAGGCTAACACCGGCAGTACATCCAAACATGGGAGCTTTAATGACTAAGACATATGAACCTCAGTTTAATGTCTCATCGGAAGGATGGGAACACCCTACAGCACAGTGTCCCTGGTCACCATACTGGTACATTGGACTGTCAATTCCAATCCAAAGGGAAGAGTTCCTCCTACTAGTCCACCATCACCTCCAGCATAATAATATTACTGATACTAATGCACTACTAATACAATATTAATTATACTAATACAATGCTGATATAATACTTTTGATATAAATTTGACTTTCTCTGTGAATGTTTCCATTCCATCATGCTTGACATTACAACAAATTTCTTTAGTTTTTCTTTTAGTCTCAGTAAGAAATTCCTGAGAGTGGAAACAGCAGTTGGGACCCAACAGTCTTTGCTGCATTTCTAATGCCCCAGTGTATTCTATGAAAACCTGACATCTGCAGTTTGATCTTCTGCCACACTTTGAACATGAAACCCTTTTGGTCCTCAAGCGTTTGTGGGAATAAGAGTTATACGTTCCCAGCGCCGTGCTGAAAGAGTGCCAGACACCACCCCCGTCCACCCGTTAATCAGCACCTGATCTCTGTCACAGTGGCAAGGCTAGGGGTACGAAACACGCCGCCAGCCTAAGGAAACGGTTTCTCATGTTTCTGCTCCATTACACCGGTCCCTCTGCACACCTGGAGGTCGCCGCCGGGTTAGCTAGCCATCACAGAGTTTAGCTGTTTGTTTGGGGTGGGGTAGCAACAGTATCCAGCTCCAGAAGATACCTTGAAAAATGCACATACCTGAAAGTCAAACATCAGGTCCGAGCTAGCAGGAGTCAAATGCGGGAGAGGTGCAGAGGTGACCCAAGTCTGAGTGGAGGCATCTTTTGTCCTAGACGATCACCAGTATCGAGCCATTGAATAGTCCATCTTTGCTCTGTTGTCAAACAGCAGCGCAGCTAAACCCTGCGTCATGACGAGGACAGTAATCCTTTTATTTGTATTAGCAAAAGAACATTTGGATATAAAAAATCTGATTTTATTTTAAAGAGATCCAGTGGTGTCTCTTGCTTGTAATAATAATAATTCCTTAACCTTTTATTTAGGGGGCGAGCGGTGGCTCTGTGGCTCAGGATCTGTGGCTGGAAGGTTGTCGGTTCAAATCCCGCAGCCGGCAGAGGAATCCTACTCCGTTGGGCCCCTGAGCAAGGCCCTTAACCCCAGCTGCTCCAGGGGTGCTGTACAATGGCAGACCCTGTGCTCTGACCCCAAGCTTTTCTCCCTGTCTGTGTGTCTCATGGAGAGCAAGCTGGGGTCTGCGAAAAGATGAATTCCTAATGGCCAATAAAGTGATCTTATCTTATAGCGCTTTTCTGGACAGTCCATTCAAATCACTTTACAGGTCATGGGGATCCCCTCCACCCCCACCAGTGTGCAGCCCCACCTGGATGATGCTCCAGTCCTCTCCCCACACACCAGCTCTCAGTGGGGAGGAGAGCAGAGTGATGAAGCCAGTTCAGAGATGGGGGTTATTAGGAGGCCATGATTGGTAAAGGCCAGGGGGAAATTTGGCCAGGACACTGGGGTAATGCCTTTACACTTTTTGAGAAACACCCTGGAATTTTTAATGACTGCGGAGAGTCAGGACCTCAATTTTATGTCTCATCCGAAGGACAGTATCTTTTTACATTGTAGTGTCCCTGTCACTATAATGAGGCATTAAGATCCACACAAAATGCAGGGTCCCACTAACACCTCTTCCAGCAGCTTGCCCAGGTCTTGCCCAGGGGTGCAGGCTTCAGAGCATGCTGTGATCCATCGCAAAGAGATGCTTGATGATGTCTTGAGGTCTCCTTTTGGCAGAACAGTGCATGAGTTGTAGTTTACACAGTCATCAGGCAGGGGGTCGCTCTTGAGTCAGGTGGGGCTTTTTGTTTTCCAGAATCTTTTGAATCTTTATTTGCCGGTTCTACAAATACAAAGGTGGGTACAGAAGATGTTACCTTGGGTGTCTGATTTTCAGTGTGTGACACCTATAACACTACATACACACAGGGCGTATGATATGCTGTGTTTAGATTTGCATGAGGCTTTTGCTAAAATTCCTCATAAACGATTAATTCTCACATTAGAGGAGACAGGGGAAATACTTGTGAATGGACTGAGAATTGGTTAATAGAAAACAAGAGAGTACTGATAGTCAAAGCTCACATTGGGGTGCTGTAATTAGTGGGGTACCACAGGGATATGTTTTGGGACTACTTTTCCTCCTATTTATTTAGCAGCAAATGAAATACAAAAAGATGTTGACAAAACTCAAGACTTGGCAAATTCATGGAACATGATGTTTAATGTAGACAAGTCTCTTTTTTTTGGCACATTGTTTGCCTCTTCTAGACGATGTGGGGAAGCAATTAAAAAGGCAAGTAAAGTAAGATACTGTATATATTGGCAAAAGTGCAGAATTGAAATCAAGGGATATTCTTTTAATAACTGTATAATTTCCTAGTAAGGCCTACTAGAATATTGTGTGCAGTTAAGATATTGCTGTTCTGGAATCAGTCCAGAGAAGAGCAGCCAGATGTATTCCAGGACACAGGCAGGAATGTCCTACACTGACAGGCTGAAAGAACAGAACCCTTTTAGTCTTGAACACAGAAGACGGCGAGGGGACCTGTTCCAGTTATTTGTCAAGCTCAAAGGCTTCGATAAAGACACAGTGTCACGTTAATGTAGAGTAAATAATGCACTCAAAATACAGAATGAAACATATATTGCTATTTCGAACTGACTTGCAGCTTATGTGACACACTAAGCACTTCATTATTTGACTGATTTACATTTAGTGTTGTATTAATGTACACAAACGCTACACTACAAACAGTAGGTAATGTTGTACGCAATGGAGAGGTGGAGGTTCTATTTTATACTACATCTCTGTTTTGATGCTGTCTGACAGTGGTGTTGGTAACTCAATTATCAACTAAACATGCACTTGGAAGTTTTCGTTACTGAAGAAGACAGTGCCCTCTACTTTGGAAATGACGTGTTCTGAGCAGTGGCGAAAACGAGTCCAAAACCCATCTTGCTTTTCCACACTTGACTTCTCCACACACTGAAGCAGCGGGTTGTTTTATGTCTTTTTGTGGCACGCATTTGTTTTAAGTTAAAAACACTAACAAACAAAGAAAGAACTACTGGAAACCCAATTTCACAAAAATGCCAACAAGCAGGCTGGGCTTTCTCACACAGTTCTGACAAACGGGATCCAAACGCTGTGTTTCAGGGGCTCATCGTTAACCAGCACCACTCAAAAACTTTAACTGGAGGAGAGCGCCAAAGAATCTGACCTTCAGCTTTGAAACATAATGAGGTTTTATGGGTGCCAATCGCAGTAGGCCCATGTACTGTAAAATAAATCAAAGCCGAAACATTTTCTATAAACTGCTGCATAATTGAAGTTTATATAACCTGTGATAGTTAAAATATCTAACCAAGCCAAAAGAAATTGGAAACACACCTACAGAGGATATACTATGTGCAAATATTTGTATTAATATATCAAGATGCAATATGAGATGTATTTGTTCCCCTCTTTTTATCCCTTCTCTTCCAGCCTGAATTGATTATCTGGATTTTTTTTTCCTAATCCCGCCTTGTTGTGGAGCCATGTTTAATGTCCTGCTCCAGAATAGCTGCTCCTTGTCTGACACATTCAGCGCTAAACCGCTTCTGTCAGAACAAAGCCGTGGATTAAGTGCAGCTTTCGGACAGTGTGCACCAGCCACTGCTGAATACAGCAAGACAGAAGAAGACACAAACCTAGGAGCCAGACAGGTCTGAAGGCCCTGTGTCATGAAGCTGTGAATGCTGTTACCTGAAAGGACACCTGCAGGTCGTTCCACTGCATTGCAGAGCTCCAGGACACCAGCACCACAGCTGTCACCAGCTCACCTTCCAGAGCAGTTTTGCACAGCCATTTTAGAACAGCTGTCTCCCCTTAAACTGCCCCCTCTACAATGTCTGCTCCCTCTGCAGCGCAGCGCTCAGGTTCAAAGCCAGCCTCACATTTTGAGCTGTTGCAAAAAAAAAACCTGAGATGCTCAGAATCCTGAAAGATATTGACAATGGTCCTGTGGACAGGTTACTTCAGGACTCAAATGTGATGCACTGAGCATTGAAAACTTGCAGACCGTCTTTACACAGAGAGTGATTTGTATCTGAAGCAGTCTAAGACATACTGCTGAAGATGATCCTCTGGGATCTCTCAAGGAATGGCTGGAGGAGAACTTCAGATCAATGAGCTGTCAGTAACTAACCAGGCAAGATGAGATAGTCTCATCTGTGGCCCTACGGATTTTCTTTTGGAAGCAGGTCAATGTCAAATGTATTCAGAAAGTACTGAAGAGCAGAGAGTAGGACTTTTTTGGAGCTATTGTATATTTTAAAGCCCATATTTAATTGAATTATTATGGAGTTATATTTAATACTGGCCTAAGACAGTAATCTGTGTGACCACCTGAAAAACTTTGAAGACAAAGCAGAATACAAGACAGGCAAAAACAAATTAACTGGGCAAATCCCCTATTATAAAGGGAGGTATGAATCAGATCAAGCAGAAATACTTGTAAGAGTTTTAACGCTGTATTTTAAAAGTCTTTATTACAAAAAAGACAGAGCATAATCACCTCCATGTACACGTTTTAAGTTTTTAGGTACCATTCCTGCCCGCAGTATTTGTAACAATGTTGGATTTTGAAGTCATCCCCGTTAACGTTACTCCCCAAAGCTAGAAAAAATGAGTTACCACGAGAATAAAATACTAAAAACATAATATTACCGATCTGCTTTTGATCATTAAATATATAAACACTCACAGCATTAAATTAATATCATTATAAAGCTCACTCATTAAACACACATTTAGTACAACAGATGAAAACCTTTTCTATTTACAAATTACTTTCCTTTAGGAAAAAGGGACATAATAATGGCGCAAAAACTAAAGCTCATACTCGGAAAGAGATTTTTTTTCTTAATTTTCCTAAGCATTTACAAGTGAATAGCGCGTTAAGACTTAAGTGAGCAAGACAAGTCGGCATAAATATTTAATTTTGCTTGACGCTTAATTTATTCAAAGAAGAGAAGGCGGGTTGAGAGAAGCTTCGGTTTACTTTATGAGAATCAAGTCATGTTCTTTTGAACCCCCGACTGACAGTGTTAGTAGGTTCGAATATAAATAATGACCGTGTGGTCACATCTGCTCCTAAACTGCGCGTATACTGTATTAACGCCAAATTTAATTCTATTTTGCAAAAACGTTTGAGGAGAAAAACGTATTTCCACGTTTCCATTCACAATCCATGACTGTTTTCATCAGGCTTAAGCAATTATTTCCTGTTTAAATTGGAACCTCACACAAACATACATGGAAAACTAAGCCTTAGAACAGGAATTGCAACCGAAAGGAACTTCAGGCAATGTCACTCCCAATAAAAGTATGACGGAGTAAGTAAAAGCTGCTTTTGAGTTTTTTGTTTCTTATGTCAACACAAAACATTTATTTTCTGGAACATGGTGTGGCTTTAAAGCACGCTAATTGTAAGAGTTCGTTTACAGACATTTTTTTGTGCCCTAATTCGAAGTGTACTACAGTACGCGTGAATTTTGTACAGGACGTGTCTTTTCACAGTAATACCCGAGATATAAATCTCACTGTTTCCTGAATTTCACGTCATATTAAAAAAAAAAAACTCTTTTAAGTGATGGGATCTGAGCTGCTCTCCAGTTCTCCCTATTGATGAAGTATCAGATACTGGCGACCTTGGAATATTTTCAGAAATACCTCCTCGCTTAAGGACGTGTTTTGCCTGAAATATAGCGTGTGTTCAAACTTTATAAGGGAAGCCAACCGAACTGAAATAGCCTTTGCCCCATAACAAATGGCGGGACCCATTGTGAATCATTGTGTTTCAAGGAGAAAGAAAAAATACTGAAAGCCCAGACCGAGTGCAAGATATGATAAAGTACAGTACAGTATCCCAATAGCTGTAGAAGAGCTGAACGGGATCAGTTATTAAACATCTTTTAATTGTTGCTTTACTTTTTGGCAGCGCGTTAATCTGAAGGTGTGAGACTGCCGTTTGACGTTTTGTGATTTTGAATTCCCCTAGTTTCTCGCTTGACATAATTCAGGTTTTCCTGGGCTCAGCACAACATCTGTGTGGCCGGGGAGGCGGCGGTGCTGACTGAGGTCAGACTTTCAGGTACTCGTTCTTGAGTCGGCTCAGCCGGGTGCCGTGACTCCGTATGACCAGCGAGAGCAGCTCGTGTTTGTCCCTCAAGCCCAGCGAGATGTCCAGCGTCTCCTTCAGCGCCTCCCTGGTGTGGATGATCATGTCCAGAAAGTCGTCGTTGATGCGGTGCTCCTCTTTCAGCTCGTTCTCCTGGCTCTGCTTGAACTTCACTTCCAGCTCCAGAAGGGATTTCTCCGAGTTGCCGAACGCCTCCGCGATCTGGGTGGTTTCTCGCCTGAGGTAGCTGCCGTAGCTCTCTTCGCCGTCCAGATCGTAGGAGATGCTCTTGCCGACTCCCTCCAGGACCCTCGCCGCGTCCTCGATGTGCCGCTTGATGATGGTGAAATCATCCCGGATGACGGAGTCCTGATCCTCATCTAACAGGCATTTTCGGTGGTCTGTCATTTTAAACAGCATCTGGCATTTCTCGGGGTCGTCGTTCTCCTCGTAGTCTCCGTCTGGGACGAAATAGTGGTGGAATGTCCCGTTGGACATCTCTGGTTGAAGCGGTCCGGCGAAATAGGCTTTTCCCGAAGGCAGTGACAGCGTCAGGACAGTCAGGAGCAAGGGAAGAAACATCGTGCTTCTTACTCGGTGTTGCCAAGAAAATACCGATTATACAGCAATCCTTAAAGTCGAAGCAAGAAGCGAAAAATCTTTTGGAAAGCAGTGCTCTGCAATCGACTATTTATCAATGAGGCAGGGCATATTAACACTCTCCCCCGTCATACTATGAGGTTTTTAGCTTCAAAAACGCTTTATTGTAGTAGGTAGGTGTACAGGATGTGTATTAAAGAAAAGTTAAAAGGATTCGAACAGATAGGAAAATTCCAATTTCTGATCGTCTTTTAAGACAAGATAATAACAACAGTAAAAATAATCCGCGATTTGCGCGTCCTGCCCCCTTCAAATCGTCCCTTGTCCTACGTGATCGCCGAAAGCGGCTCCCGGTGATAACATCCAGACTTGCAGCCGCGCGGTTTCCTCTTTCTTCGTCCTGAGTTTATTTATTGAACTCGTTTCCAGGCCTGTGGAATAAACTTTTCGGCTCAAGACGGATTCTGTAGTGTCTTTGGCTGTCTACGCGCTACTATTTCAACATCTGGATGGCCAAGGCAGTGCTCTCCGTTTTGGCTAATGATACCCCTCTCGGCTCTCAAATTACAGCCCTACTTCGTCACTTAAAAGGCAAAGAACAATTTCTGTAGGAATCTGTCAAACGGGACCCTGTTATTAAAGTTTCGCGACCTCGTTCAGAAAGCCGGCTTCCCCTGTTTTAGGAACAGGGTGACATTTCCAGTCAGGTAGAAAGAACAAAGCTTAATGTTCTGAAATAACAGAAGAATGCAGAATCAAAGGAAGGCGACTGCGAAGAGGTCGTACAGTAAATGACGGGTGGTGTATTATTTGACACAAGAGGGATTCGTGCTGAGGTTTCAGAAGACGTCATAACAACCTGGGCGTCTCACCGACCGCACACCTGAAGGTTTGCGCTGGCTCACACAGATAACGCCGGGGGGTCCCAGACGCGGCCGCAATCTTTCCCCGTACTAATACCGTAAGCCCGTTCACGCAAACCCTCGAGGAACTGTGCTAATGTGCTAATCTGAAGGAAAGCAAATATTGAGTCCCTTTTTCACCCATTTGTAAGGAAGCGCATCGGTGCCATCGAGGGATAAACGCATTGCATGTGTTGTAGCGAGAGAGAAAATGAGCGCCTGATTCAGAGACACAAACGATCATTCCAGCGCAGGGTGCCACCGGAGCACCTCCAATTTACTGAAAGCTCAGCTGTGGGTTTAGGGTTCGGGACAGTGTCGAGCGCTGCGGAAATTACACGGCCTGACCTCGCACTGGGGTTTACTCGCAGGTGACATGTAACAGCTCTGTACCTCATGTGAACGGAATCATTGATAAGCATGAGGACACTCGGACTCATCCTTAAACAAGAAAGAACGTTTCGTGCGATCGACCCCACTGCTTAAAACGAACACGGCTGAAAACTGAAAGTCAACTATTGATCGTGTAGGTATTGTGTGACAATTGTGCTATCACATGACGATCACATACAGTAGCGAGAATGTCTCTCGCAATTACACATGCAATATGTTTCCTTTGGTGGCACCAGTGCCCTCCTGAACCTGTTACATGTAGGCCTGCACATGCAGTCTGTTTTTCCTTTACGCCAAAGCGTTATGCAGAATAATGTTGCATTAAGGACCGGATGCTTGACAAGGTGCGATAGAGTGGGGAGCACGGCTGGTGTGTCCGTCAGATTCCTGAAGTAAAACGCTCTTCCGTATAAACAGGTACAGTACAAATGTACTTGCGAATTGGTTTCTTTTCGGCTTGCGGGAACCCCACATTCACGAAGCGCTTTCCACGACGTCGATTCTACCGTCGTGTTACTGAAATTATTGCACAACGCGGGTCATCTATACATTAAAACGTACCGTAAGCCAAGTTTATTTCAGCTTTCCATCATTTATTGGGTCCCCCCTTTGTTTAAAAGAATGTCCGGTAACAGAGAATTGTCGTGGACCTGTTCAAGAATAGAGGTCGAAAAGCTCTTGAGATTGTTTCACAGGTGGGGCAAAAAATCACCGTTTGGTCGTCGAAATTGCAGCTACTGTATAACCGAGACTGTCTTAAGGTGTTTTGGGTTAAATCTGTTCTCTACAGTACTTTTATTTAACATGATCTCGCCCTGGTGCCTCCTGCCCCGTTGTATCATCTGCTCTTCCTCGAACTGTTCTGTTCATGTCACCGTGGTGTCGACCTCAGTTCGTCGCGGTAACCATGATGTATTTTCAACCGCTTTATTATGATTTAAATATGATTAAGGTGACGGCTGACGCTCAATATTTAGAGGGCATTACACCTTTTGCATGACATGGCCTTAAAAGCAAACGCCCGTTTCGTTTCAAACCTCTTTAATAGGTTTGCCATATCGGGCCTGAACCGCCGGTCCTTCACCCCACGAGGGCGCTGTAGGGGTGGTTTATTTGGGGTTTTCATGTACAATTACAAAATGCACCAACACGTCGGAGGGAATTATGAAGAATGGCTGTTATCCCGTGTAGACGTCTGGTACAGCCCCTGTGCAAGAGGCACGCAATACCGAGCGTATTTGATATGCGAATCAGCCGGTTTCGCCGCCATGCGAATATCATTGTTTCTAGTGCTCCAGTTTTCAACAACTCTACCAGCCGTCTGCCCGTAATAAAAACCAGATTTGTGTGCCTTCTTATATTCGCTGCATAGACTTGCGTGAACGCATCTTAAACCTTAGTAGAGTTTAAGTAAGCGCCGCCTTTGTCCTAATGCGAAAATAGATACTGGAAAAAGGGGCAACAACTTGAAGTCATTCTGCAATTGTCAGAGGGGAGGGTTTTACGGTGAGATTAGGACAGAGGTAGCCAAGTCGTGTAAGGGCAAGGGACTGTCCCAGTCACAGCACGTGAGCCCTATTCGCCACGCGTGTCAGCTACAGCCCCATCCCAGCGCGGCCCCGTGCCCGAAGCCCACGTCTCCCTCAAGCGGAGCTGCGCACGGTGTCTGCTGTGTTTCCTTGCATTGATGGCAACCAGTGCTCACACTGCTCGTATTTTTTATAATTGCTGTGTACGATCCCAGAAAGAAACAAAGCGGGCGAGCAAAACTTTCTGCTTCTGCCTGATCTGAACTGAGGTGACACGTTGAAACTGATTAATTAATTGAGCGGGCGGGATTCATTATTTCAAGTAGGGAGCTGCGTCAGCGTGCGTAGACCGCAAAGGAACAAGTAAAGGTTTATTCCATACTGAAAAAAGAAGAAAAGAAACACAACGTTTCGGCTGTGGAGCCTTCTTCAGGTGTTTCATGATTCCTAACTGTTTTATTATTCCGTTTTATTATACAGTTCCATTATATTAGATATACCGTTTCTTTATTCATTATATTAGATTCGTTATTTTCCCCCATTGACTTGTGACTACAGTGGGGAACAAGTAATAGGTTTATTCCATGCTGAAAAGAGAAGAAAGAAAACACAACGTTTCGGCCTTTGTGACTACTGTGTTTGGTCTCGGTTTTGCTTCAGTTGAAATGTATGGCATAAGATTCCGTTACGCGCACATGCGAATTTACCTTATTAGCCTTGAACAGAGAAGACACCGATCCCTAAATCCCCAAATCCCCAAAGGCACTGCCGGGGTCAACCCAGTGGACTGGAGTGCATTAAATACTGAGTACAGGAGGCACGTGTTTACGCAAAGAGTGGTGGGGGTTTGGAACAAGCTACCCAGTGGGAGTTTGGTAGAAGCCAATACCCTGGTTCCTTTCAAGGAGCGACTGAGTGAGATCATTGGATCAATTATCAACTAACGACCAAAAAGGTTAGATGGGCCAAACACCCTCGCCTCGTTTTCAGTCTTTCTTATGCTCTTATTTACGAGACTCCTCGGTTTTGTGCAACCACGGCGCTATGAGCACAACTCATCCCAAACGAGAAAAAAAGACACCGATTTAAAAAAGAAAATGTGTAACTTGGATGTCATTTTTTAGGAATGTGTCGTGTTTACATAACCAGTGCTATTTGATAAAAAGGAAAATCTTTTAATATTTCACCTAAGAGCAGACATTCCTTTTTTAACAGACGATGTTTGTTTTTGAAATATGACTCTGGTTTCCTAAATAACCCCAGGAAAGCCAGAAGCTTTGAAAGCCAATCCGCTTTTAAGTGTTTTTATGACATCATGTCAAGGAGTTGAATCTGCTGTCCGATAAAAACGTACTGTAGCATAATGTTTGTACTGCAGACGAAGAGTGCACTGCCTTAGGTTTGTCTAGTAACAGAAAAGGATTAAAGATTTTAATACTTTTTTAAAGACATAAAAAAACCGTTTAAAATCAGCTTTCCAGAACAATGACCTCAGGCATTTTCCTACTTCTGTTTTATCAAAAAACAACAACAACAGGCTCATTAAAACTCAGACCCCAAAGTGTCAGTTGAAACACTCCAGAATACCAAATGATTCTACAGCGAGGGAAACCCTATCCTTTTCCCTCTAAACCACGACCTTGCATATCTGCAAAACAGGAATCACCTGGACTGCCGGAAGAAGAGACTACGCGTTAGTCGCCATGAGACGATCACACGCTCTGCTCGCCCATCACCACGGTTAACTGCCCACACCCGATTCTTCCCCGTGGGGCTTTGAAATGCTATCCGAAGCCCCCATTGCGTGCAAGCTTCGTGGGTGCTAGACGTGCCGTGTGCTGAGAAAGAGGTATTAACAGAAGACGGGCATAGGCAGATTAGAGCACGCCGCAGGGCTGCCGAAGTCATCATCGAATATGTTCCGTCGTGAAAGCTGGTCAGTGGGAGCTGTCTCGCTGCGCACTGACGGTAGCCAGCGCCTCTCCGGGCGGTAGAGCTCCGGGGCTCCTCTCTCGGAAAGGAGATCCTGGCGCAGGGCGGGCTGAAGGAGTCATCAGCAGGGAGAGAAGGGAGCAGAGCTCAGGAGGAACGTGGAAGCCTTATAAAGAAAAATAATGAAAGAAAAAAAAATCGCCTTTCTTTCGCGGGAGATCAGGCAGTGACGAGTCACTGAAACTGAAAAGACTTCATTGTCGGTACCCCACCACCACCCCCAGCTGGTAAATACTGTAGTTTGTTTCTTTCCAGTGGTCTGTAACGAGGCAAAGCCCACCGGGTGAGACTGGGGTCCCGTCAGCTGCAGAGAAAAACGTGCAAGGCTGTAACACACATCTAAGGATGATTTTCCTGCTCCGCGGCCGTGCATTTACTGAGCTAAGAGGACACACAGGAAGTAGGGTATTTCCACGCAAAGCTGAAGGTCTCGTAACAATGGGAGGTGGAAACCAAAAACAACTCACTCTGTAGCTTGTTTGGTAAAACTAAAATATTTCTTGTCAATAATGCGGTGGAAGAGTCAGTCCCGGCTTTAACAAATTGCAGTTCTGAAGCATTTACCGAGAAATTAGAAAGCTAATAAAAATGATTAGCCTTCCTAATTGGCCTGTGGGAAATGAGCTCAGCAAATACACACCATTATTCCTCTCAGTGTTTAGTTCCATTTTATTTTAAAAAGCCATCAATCTGTAACACTTTGGACACAAATACAGTGTTTTAAAAATCTCCCGATGAAAACAAATTGAGCCATACCCATAAAATATTCTCCAAATTCCTTAACGCGTGATCGCTCTTATCTCTCTCTCCAGAATGAGCTTCAGTAGGAATAAGAACACCCAAGAATTAAATGTCATGAAAATTTGGCTGAACCTGCTTGGCTGAGGGCTGACCTCCTGACCAGAGGACGAGTGGCTCTGGACCCCCCTGCAGAGTGAGGGGTGACCCAGGGGCAGCTGCAGAGGGGGAGATGGGGTGGAGGAGGGAGGCAGGAGACCTCATGCGAGAGAGAGAGAGAGAGAAGGGGATCACGTACAGTATTTAGTGTTTTAGGAGAGGAAATGGCATCGGGAGTGATTACTAATTGCTGACAGCCGAGTCTGATTGAACTTGCCTGCTGTCATCCCTCCTGAACTTTTGGTACAAACTCCATATATTAATTAAATTGCATGCAGATGTTGTCAAGGAACCTCTTTCCCCTAGCTTGGGGCTGAAGTCTTTGCCTCTGTACTTGCACTAACAGAGCTGTCAGGTGTGTCAGTTTGCCTTCAAAGACACCTGTGTTTCCCAACAGCCCGTGAGATCTTTCTATGGGCAGTGAGAAGACACCCCTTGGTGGCATCACCTTGAGGAACACATCTGGAGTGATCAACATGTGTCTGTGGTGTGTGTATGCACAATGCTAGTAAGCGCTACTCTCTTGTACATTAGATGCACTGCATGGTGTCACTGTGTCTTGAGGAAAACCTGGGCTTCACTCAGGCTAGGAGACTGTCAGAGATCTTGTATTCAGTCAGCTGAAGGGGCGCATAGCATTGCACATACTCAGGGTTTCCCCTAGCACTCAGTAAATGTGCTCACTCGACTGTAGTTACACTTTTCCTTTTATACTGTAAATCGAGGCAAGACATCGAAGAAACATCCGAAGCACAAGGCAATTGCAGAAGTCTTGTCAAGCACAAACAAACAGGACCAGAACACTCCATTTGGCATCCTGCAATCTGTTCTGTGTGTAAAATCTGTTTACACACAGGGGTAAAAAAATCACAGGCTTTAGTTGCAGAAAGGCAGTTGTCTTAGGGGTAAACAGAAAACCTCTTCCCCAC